TGGAACAATGAATAATGAACTGAAAAACTTTAATTTATGGTTCAGACAAATAAACTATCCTTAAATTGTGAAAAAACTAACTACATTTTATTTCATAAAACAGGTCAATCTACGTCTCTACCGTTGAAAATTCCAGAGTTGCTCATTAACAACATAACAATAAACGGGAAAAATATGCAAAGTTTCTTGATGTTCAAATAGATAAAAGTTTATCATGGAGAAATCATATTGGACAACTTGATTCAAAATCATCTGCAATAGGTATTTTATGATTTTTGTTCAAAAAAAAAAGTTCCTTTACTCTAATTCATAGTCATCTCACATATGCTAATATAGCGTGGTTTATACACACAAACCAAAATTAATCATACTACAAGGCTTACAAAACCATGCTTGTAAAGAATTCATTATCTAAGTAGAATGGACAATTTTTCTAATGTGATGACAAATATAAAAGTCTTAAACTTGGAAAAACCTAATTTATATCGTATTCTTATTTTTATGTTCAAATATAAAAATAATATGCTACCAAATCTTTTTTAGACATAATTTTTAATTATCATTTTCTCAAAGTTATAATTTCCAATCAAATAGTTTTTATAACTATTGTATTAAAAAAACTAAAACCCGGTAATCTGAATTTTCAATGCCTCAAAACATGGAGAAACTTGAAAAACCAAAATTGAAAGACAAATAAAATATGTTTAAATAGTAAACAAAGTATATTCTTAGTTTGTAAAAACGATTGTAATAAATAAAAAACAAAAACAAAACAAACAAAAAATACATTAATGATTGTAGAAATAGTAATTACAAAGCTAATTACAAAAAAATATATATTACTAAATTTACTTAAATCAACTTTTTACATAGACATAGATATACGCCAAATGGTATTGTTTGAAAAATCTGTGTAGAGATTTGGTCTGGAGTTTTATACCCAAAAATGCTGACTCTTCTTTGATTTCCTTTGTTAAAATAAATATATATGTGAATTATTATTCCAAAATTTATATTAAAGTTTGTATCAAAACTATTTTAATGTATTTTTATCAATCTGATACTTAATAATTTTGTATATATATATATATATATATATATATATATATATATATATATATATATATATATATATATATATATATATATATATATATATATATATATATATATATATATATATATATATATATATATATATATATTAGGGCTCTGCGAAGCTTTGAATAATATGATTCAAGATACGATTCGAAAATTTTCAAAAATCAAATCTTTACTTATTTTGTTTATGTTGTGGGTATTTTAGATATTCTGCGGTTGGGCACAATCAAAATAATGTTACTTATCCTTAAATACCTTTTTAATTAGTCATTAAAAAGGTTAACCAGGGAAAAAAGCATCAATAAATAGATTATGCAATTATTTTATTTTATTTTATTTTGAAATATATATTATTAAATAAAAAATGCTTAAATTTAGACTTCAAAATATTGATTCGAAACGTGATTCGAGTCGCGAATCAAAATCTGCTTTTCAATCTTTCGCAAATCGAAAATCTTTTCGCAGGTCTTATCCGCTCGCTAAAAAAACTGGAAAGGGCTGTTTTGGAAAAACATGCTAGAAAAACTGGAAAATATTATAAGCATCATTGGTTCAATGATGCTCAAAACATTCATTTTCTAGTTTTTCCAGCATATTTTCCAAAAAAAAAAAATTTTCTCACGATAATAAATGTATTTTTATATAAAATACCTAAAGAAAAAATAACAAAATAATGAAAAATGACTACTTTCTAATCTTTTAAACAACAAATTTTTTAAAAGTTTATAAAACTTTTTGAACAAAATTTATTATAATCATAAAATTGGCGTTTCGAATTTAGGTTAAAGTATTGCTCAGCTATCCTTAAGCACTCCGAATTTTACCACTCAGGCTCAAGTAAATGTACAATTTGTAAATGCACAAATGCACAAATTTTTATGCCAAATGAACCGTGTCTCTAAATTACTGGACATGTTGTCATTTTATTAGTTCTCAATTTGAGGGTTAGGGCCAAAGTTGGAAAATTTTGCTCAGTTACCCTTAAGCACACCGAATGTTCACCACTCAAGCTCTTGTAAATATACAATCAAATACAAGCCTATCAAGCAAAGCATTAAAAAAACTGGTCAGAATTGTAAAAAAAATATCATGCAGCAAGATGGCGAAGCCAAACCTTTACATAAGTTTCCTAAGTTCAGGCCAACATTAAGTGATTTTTTCAGCAGTGATTTGAAATCCTCTTTGAGTCCGGGTTTTTAGTCACTGCAATGATTAATCAATTCTTGTGAATCACATTCTCGCAAAATTTCTGGTTATTACTTTGTTAAGCTTAGTATCTATGGTGGCTAAGGTTCTCTCAGATTTTGTTTGAATATTTTCAATACTACGTTAATGATTGAAACCTGCTCCCCGCCACAAAAACAACTCAAAGGATTGCCCAAGACACTGTCAATAGAAAAAAGTCTTCTGGCAGTATCAGAAAATTTGCAAGAAACTTACTCCAATACTGAACAAATTTGGACACTGATCAATGGAAATATAATTAAACTAATTTTGGTTTGTTATATGCAAGATACAAATGAACTTTGTTATCTTCAAACCTACTCTCTGGCACACTTATGCACTCTTCACATGTTGTGATATCAAATCAAATCTCTTTCTCACTCAAAACTTAAGAACCATGGGCTCAATTAAATCTTGTCTCAAGTTTTTTTAGTATTTTGGCGTGCTTTTGCGAATGCAAAGCTTTTCTGCAATATAATTCGAAATCCAATCATTGACGAGCCTGAAAATATTCTGTTTTTGAAAATCATCCCACAAATAAAAAAGCATTTTCTCTCTGGAGTTGTCAATCGTCTTTTCAAGATCTTTCAAAAATCTTTGATAAAAATTTATAAGTGGCCATACATTCAACTGACCCCTTATCGTGGGGGTCAGTTTAATGGAAATAAATGCAGCACCTTGCTGCGACCTGATTTCCAATGTTATTTTCTGTCTAAAGATTTAATTTAGTTGTCATGGTTTGCTTTTGGTTCATCATTTATCAAAAAGAAACCCTGAAAACTTCAAAAGTTGTACCATATCAAAGGTTTTATCAGTCAAAAATGATCCTCCTTATGGCCCTTTGACGAACAATCCGTTGAAACTGCTCATCAAAATTTTTATTGGTTTATAAGCAAAACAATAATCATCTAGAGTACAACCGAAAATTGTCGATTATGCTTAATCAATCTGAACAGTAAGAATCTCTAAAGAACAGCTTAGATAAAATCTGAGTTATTAGAGATTTGGCAGCAGAAAATCAATTTAAACATTCAAATTAAATTTTTTTCCCGCGCACAAAATATAAAGATTTCAAATTTTACTTTACATGTTACCTTACCGAGTAATCTATTACTACATATAAGGGTCAGCTAGATTGGCATTATCAGGTATCAGCAGATTTTCAGGATCCATGATCACCGTGTTTAATGCAAAAATCAAATTAAAAACCGTGCTTAATGCAAAAATCAAATAAAAAAAATGGTTGTAAAATATCTTAAATCATATTTTAATCATATTTTAATTCTTTTAACATGATTACACTAACTTATCACTTGATTATGGTCTTAAAACTTAAAATGTTTAAAACTTAAAATAATATTTATTCGTTTATGTTGAAATTCAATTTATATGTAACTCGTGATTTTAAAAATCTTTGGTTTTCAAACATTATGTATTCGTGTACACTTAAACTTGTTTGTGTTTTCTTACAAAAGTATTTTTATTACAAGTTGTTATTTTAAATATTTGTGCCATTTTTTTTTTACAACAATTAGAATTTTATTAAAAAATTATGGCTGTTAGGCATATAATTTTATCCGTAACATTAATTTAAAAACCAAAGAAAACTGACGTGTGGCTTTATATTAAGTAAATGTCTTATTTATATCTGAAAATCCAATTAACGAATGAAATCTTCTTTTATTTGTATGTGCATAATCATTTATCTGCACCATCAATAAATAACGTTAAGTTACCTAAATACTATTAACGATTCGTTTACGGCTAATCTACCGATAACAGGTTTGATTGCTTTAAAAATTCTATTTTTTGCTCAAATCTCGCCAGAATACAAGTTTAGAGACAGACTACGACCAAGTATAGACTCATTGTATTTGGGTTTTAAAGTAGTTTGTAACAATTTTAATTGGATTTTTTTCCGTTTTGGGTAATTTGTAGGTATAGATATTACTATCGAGTAAAATATTGGGAACAAACTATATTTTTTTTAAAATTAATCAAACTTTATTTTAACTTTAATGTAAAACGTTAAATTAAGGTAGTTTAACAGTAATTGTAACAAATTGATAAAGTTAATTAACTGAATCAATTCTACATTTGAAAATATGAATTTACAAAACAAAGTTGTTTTTAAGTTGTCGAAACACAATAACGGCGCGTGTAAACGAGGTTATTGCGTTTTGACAACGCAATGAAAACCGATAAAATTGTTGATAAGAAGGTGCTATAAAATAAATTAAAAAAAAATTTCAATTTTGATTTAAAATATAAGTATTTTGTGCGTTTTCAAAGTGCTGTATTTTTTAAAGATATTTAACTTTCAATACAAAAGAGTCTTATAACAGTATTGTTTTTATTGAAAAAGCGCTTTTACAAAGATTTTTTAGGCGCCTAAATCAACCGCACCTTCGCTCAACCTCTAGATCAAGCAGCTAATTTCATAATAGTAGCTTATTATTGCATCAAGGTTTACTATTACAAGGTATCACTATTTAAAAAATTTCTTATTCTATTAAAATCACAATAATACGACATAAATACATATTGTTTTGATTTTTTTATAATAGCGCACCATTAATAGACTTAAGGCTTGTTTTATTACAGTCTCAATAATACGACATAAATCGGTTTTGTTTTGATATTTTCAAAAAAAAAACAATATTAATAAACTTTATGCTTGTTTTATTAACTTCTCAATAATACTATATAAATAGATACAACACTAAAATTTCATAATTTTTAAAACCCAAATATTTTACCATTCTATTTAAACTAAAACGCAAACTTGAACACTAGCGTGGTTATTGATACACTTGAATACCTGTTTTATTTGGAGTTGGTTTGTTTTATTACTTGTTTGAAGTTTGTTTAACTGGTTTTTATAACGTTAAATCTTATTCAACAGTTTTACTGATACAATTTTTTTTTTTTTTCTAAATATTTTTATTTGTATAAAGTTAAATTTTGCTTTTAGATTTTGTTTTATTGCAAGCCATATTACAAATTTATTAAACAATATATAGAGGAAAACAACTCCCATGTTGCTACTTAACTATGTACGTCTTACAAATGACAAAATCCACTCCCCAAATTCTTTTGCAAGACGAAGACTATCGTTATTTAACGAGCAAATGAAGTTAATCAGTTTTATAAAAATGACGCATTTGAAGAATTAAAGGAGAGAACAATAATATCACTCTAATAAGTTATCTTATGTCTAAATAATTATAAAAACAAAATATGCAGTTAAAATGGCTAAATAATTACGTCAACAAGAGTTGGCGCAATGACAACAAAAATAAAAAGTTAGTCGCAATAAGAATGTTAATTCAATATAGTTTAAACTAGTTAAATATAAAATATTTTATCTTTTTGCATTGCTTTCCTCTGCTGAAATTGTTAATTTCTATGATCAAGGGTTCATAATATATTTATGCATATGTTAATACCCGAAAAAATATTAGATTCAAACCAAAAGAAAAATAAATTAAAGTATTAGAGCATTTTTAGTAGAATATGAAATTTTTAAACGTTACACAACTTAGATGATTTAAATGATTTCCGAATAAAAAAATAAAAACAAGAATTTTAAAACCAGAATCTCAGAAGTTACCTAATTCAAAATTAATGCTTCGGTTAGGTTAAACTTCATAATAATTAAAAAGGTTAAAATATTAATGGATTTACTAGTAAGTTAACAATAAATAATGATGTTGATTTAAGTGTAAACCCAAAGAGTCTGAATTAGAATTGAAATTAAGATAATTGAATAAATAAATAATAACAGAGCAAAGTTATAAAAATTTCTAATATAAAATTATTTAATAAAAGTAAATGAGGTAAACTTTTGAAAAGTCACAAAAAAAACAACAACTGAATAACTGATTTAGAATAATATTTAAATAAAATATCTTAATAACAATACTTTACAGCTTGTAAAGTTAAACAGAAATAAAGATATTGAAATTAATCTACTTAAAAATGCAATTGATCGTATGAAAGCTACGCTAGAGTGTTTAATGCTCAATCAGAAAAGCGACAAGCTGGAATAAAAACACGTCCAGGTGCAGTAACATCAATAGAAAAAAAAAACAATCATGAAGTAAGAAAGGAATTAAAGGAAGAAAAGAAGACCAAGATATTATTCAAACATAATTTGTATTGTATTTACAATTAGATTTAATGCTTTAAAGAATTTTATGATTTAAAAATAAAAATATTTTTCATTTTTAGTCTCACATTTAGAGAGTACCTGAAAATTAATGTTCAATTGCTTTTAATATGCTTTTTAATTAACTTTTTTCATTAATTGAAACCCTTTTTTTTTAGTTTTTGTTAAAAAGTTTTGAAAAAAATTATCTTTTTTTTTTGATTTCAGATAACATGAAGATAATTTGCTTAAAGTAGGATAACTTTAAGAATATGTGTTAAAATTATTTTTTTCTTTAAAAGTGTTTAAAAATTGCATGATAGGAGTTTTTAATAATATTATTTTTTTAATATTATATTATTCAATTTGATAAAAAAAAACCTTATAAAAATATATTTATATAAATACAAAAAAGTATAAATAAAAAACAAACCCAATTTATGATAAAATCTTTTCTTAAATATAATGAATTATAAAGATTTTAAAGAGAACAACAGAGTGCAATATTTTATTAAAAAAGAATTAAACAATTTTAATGAAATTTACTCCTGGACACTAGTTTTATAAACTATTTTATTCATAAATATTGATTCATTAATATGTTAGGGGATTTTGATGTGTTATTTGCTTGTAAAGAACTTTTTTGATAAAGTTTTAAATGAACAAGTTGTAAATAAAATATTTTTTCATTTTTTTAATTTTTTTTTAATTATTTTCATAGAATAATAACTTGATAATCTATTTCTGATATGATTTTTAATTTTTATTCGTCCATAAGTTTAAATAAAGTAACAAATATCAAATTAGATTAAATATTATAGTTATTTATACTTTAAAAATTTTCAGAAATTTGCAGAGCGAGTGGGCTTCAATAATAAAGTTATGTAACACTAAGATGGTTCCGATTTTTGAGCTTTAAAGAAATATATACAATTGAGTTTATACCATGTTTAATCTGATCTTATCTAATATTAGTTATGTTTGCTTTAGATCGGTTTAATTAATTTTAACTAAAAATTAACTTTTATTTTACGACATTATGTTTTAACTTATTTTATGATTATACTATAATTTTATTTTCATTTTTCAGGACATAAAAAAAATGATACGAGCAATACAAAAGCAGTACAAGTTCTTAAAGTCTAACACTGTAGGGATTGTTGGAGTTTCTGTAAAGGAGGGGCAAAATTTACCAGGTGTAGAACTTGCCCCTGAAAAAATTCGAAGTGGTGGACTTTTTGAAGTCATAAAGAGTTTAAATTGGGACTATTCAGACAAAGGAGATATCAAAACCGAAAACATTCAAATACAAGAACGCCCATCAAAGATATACAAGTTCAACAATTTTAAGAATGCAGATATTATTGGTGCAGTTAACGAAAAGCTACACAACACAACTTCAGAGATCGCTGAATTAGGACAGTTTTGCATTACTCTCGGAGGTGATCATGGATGTGCATCTGGATCCATTTCAGGGCTAAAGAAAGTTTATAAAGATTTAAAGGTGATATGGATCGATGCACACTCTGATTGCAATACTCCGGAGACTTCTCCGAGTGGAAATTACCATGGGATGCCTGTTGCTCATTTATTTGGTTGGATTCCTGACGGAAGTGTTCCTGGTTTTGATTGGTTTAAAAGTTGCTTACAAAAAGAGGATATAGTCATAATTGGTTTAAGAGATGTTGACAAAGAAGAAAAAGCTTTAATAGGTAAACATGGAATTAAATGCTTCACAATGCATGATGTAGTCAAATACGGAATCGCAGGAGTGATGGAGAAGACATTCGAGTATTTCAGAAAAGACGGAGTCGATCACCCAATTCATATTAGCTATGATGTAGACGGTATTGATCCTACAGTAGCTTACGGAACAGGAACAAAAGCTAGAGGTGGTTTATTGTACAGAGAAGCTCACTATATAGTAAGAGAAGTTGTAAGTACTGGACTATTTGTCAGTATGGATGTTGTTGAGGTAAATCCTTTACTTGACAAAGAAAAAGAATACTTTCATGGAGATAATAAACTAATTAAAGGCACAGAAACTGTTTGCTTGGCTATTGAACTTTGTGCTTCAGCGCTTGGAGATACTTTGCTATAAATGGTGTAACTTAATATAAATAAACACAATAAGATATTATAAGATTAGGTGATTTAAAAAACAAATAAAGTAAAACAAATTTTTTTGTTGTTTTTGTTTTAATGTGGTTTTCAAATTTTTTTAAGCCATACTATTTTTAAAAGATATTATACTTAGTATGGCTTATAATTAATAGATTAAAAAGTAGTCAGAATTCAAATTTTTTTCTCAATTTTTATATTCAACAAAAATAAAATTATAGCGCTCTTTTTTGGTAAACCTTTTTAATCCGTTCATTTATTATAAAGTTATTATAATAAATGGTTTTAACCCAATCATTTAATATAAAATTATTATAATGAGTTGATTATTTACTCCTTTGTTATTCCTCGAAGTTGATTTTGACTAAACTAAAATAAAATTTTAAAATTCATCAAACCATTAAAACCATTAAGTCATCAACCAACTAAAATATATGTGATTAAGTAAACATTTTGCGTGCGTGTTTTACTTCTGTTTTAATTTGTACCAGGCTCTAACTCTGTATCATATTATATCCGTATAATGCATAAAATTACTTAAAAAAAAAAAAAATAGTAACAAGTTCAGTTGACTCCAAACCTGACTTAAAGAAATGATTTTTGGCACGCTGTTTAGAAATAGCGTGTCAGATAAATATATTTAAATATATTTAAAAGTATATTTAAATTAGACTATTTCAATATGTTTAATTTTTTTAACGTTTTCCAATATTTTGAAACTACATAACAAAAAATAAAACCAGCAGCTTTACCAGCACTTTCCTTTATCTTAAGCCTACTTTTTTTACTTATCAAAAAGAGTAAAAGGAACCGCTGGTTCCTTTCGGTTCTCTGCTGATAAAAAGAGTAGTATAGTAAGCAACAATAAATCAACTTGCAACCAATATACAACTTACAACCAATGTACAACTTGCAACCAATCTACAACTTGTAACCATTATACAACTTGCAACCGATGTACGTGAGATTTTATTACAAAAAGTGAATCTTTCAAAACATTTGAAAGAAACATGTGATTTAATTATTTGTTTCACAAATTTTTATTTATTTATTTGTAATGAATTATACAAGTAAATTTGAAAAAAAATAAAAGATGTAATAAATACTTGAGTTGAAATAAATATTTACATTGCTTTATTTTTAATCCTCGAAAAAAAAAATTTTAAACAATAATAACATTTATTTTTCCTAAACTTTGAGCTATAATGGCATTTAATAAACTATAAATTTTATTTATAGACAAATTTAAAAAATTCATTTTTTATTTTTCATAAAATTTATTTAAATTTCAAGGCTTTAGAACTAGTTTTATTATTTAATGTCATCTGAATTGGGGTTAAGATTGATTGAAAATATAAATTGTCATTTTAATTTATTTTCAATGTTTTACTTTTTTTATGCAATAAAATCAAACAAAAATTTATCACCTTAATACGAATGCCAATTTTTGGTTCAAAATATTTTTTCAAATAAAACTCCGCAAAGATTCAATGAAACAAAAAAAATATATATCTTAATTCAACTTAATCACATGATGTTTTGCATCTGCACAAAAGACTTTGAAACAATTAGGATATCCGAAACCAAAAACGCTTTTATTTCTTCGTCTTTGAGAGCTGACTTTCAGAAATAGAGCAACTTAGTTTGTAGAGGTTTGTTTTTTGGAGCTAAATTATTTAGAAAGGCTGTAAAAACAATTGAAATGAATGAAAAATAAATAAAAAAGAGAAGCCAAATTGACTGTAGAGGTCCCCTTGAAAGATGGAAAGCATCCATATTTGACAAGCTTTGATACCCTATTTGATACCCATATTTGACAAGCTTTGAACGACAATTTATAAACGCACCCACTTTTTGTTATTTAAAATCTCAATTCAGTTTTTGTAACAAGATTTTATAAACATTAGTTCCGGTTTTCAAATATTTCGTCGAGTTAAAATACAAAATGCTTTATAATGTTTTAATGTTCACAACTTGTAATTTTTGTGTAATAATTACAAACAGTTTAAATTTTAAAAATCATGTTTAATGGATTTCAGATAAAACACAAACTTGGATGTGAAAAACCAAGGAAAAAAGAGAAAAAGAGAAAAATCATTAAAAATGTTGAAGGGTTCTTTAATAAAATATAAACTGATGTTAAGCCTAGCAATGACACAACTATCATTACCAATGACTCAATATCAGAAATATTGATAAACAATACTGCCAAAAAAAGTGAAGCAGACGTTATTAGTGAAAAACCAGAAGAGATCTACCAGTCTATAGATAAACAGCTTCAGCTTTATGATCCAGATTGAGAAGTTGAACCAGAACTAGCAGCAAGCAGCAAAGATTTAAAATCAAGGCATAGGATTTGAAGAAAAGATAAGATATGCTCGCAAGGAATATTTTTTTTGAGAAAATTGACATACAGAGAAGTTGTCAAGAGATACTGCCTTATTTATTCTCCTTCAACAGGTATAGTGTTTTGTTATGTGCGCATATTATTTGGTTACAAATATGGTGGTATCGATGAATTTTGCAATCAATTTCAAACTGGTTTTGAAGATTGGAAACGTGCAACTGCAAGGATCAACTTGCACGAGAAATCTAAAGACTATGATGCTGCTCCACTAGAATCTAAAGACTATGATGCTGCTCCACTAGAATCGTAGAACTAATTTTAATCACTCAATAAAAAAATGATAATAAAAATGGAATCTATTTTTCGTAGGCTCTAATTGTTCATAGGCCATAGACCTACTATGCCTACCGGATAAAACATCCCTGCCAGGAAGGAATGCCAGGTATTACCACAGATAATGCCTCAAATAACAGAAAGACTTTTCAAAACGTTGCTTAGATTCTTAGTTACAGTCATAGTCTTCACCATTCTGTGAATAAATCATTAAGCATTTTCCAAGTGTAAAAGATACCAATGACATTTAATAAAAGTTAGTTAAACTTTATATTATTAGCAAATTCAAAAACAAAAACAATTAAACTTTATTAAAAGCAAAGCTTTAGTTCAAATATTTTTATTACTCAATGTAATTTAAGTAAGGTTAAGCTTGAAAAAGCTTCAAAAAGTTTTGTGTTTTTGGTATTTACACAAATTACAAAGCTCGTGTGCTAATTTTTTCAAATCGGAAAAATTATTTGTCTGAAAGGCAATAGTTTTAATAAGACAAACGTTACTTAGAGAAGTATGAAATTTTATGTGATGTTCTAGCAGAGGAAAGAAAAAAGAGATTACTAATTCATAATGATTTTTTAATTTTTTACTGTTATAAAAATTATCATTTTAATTCTCGAGTCCACTTAACCCATTTATTAATGCAATTTGTCTACAAAAAAAACAACCAACCAACCCTCAACTTTGCTATTGCTTTGGAAAATATTATAATGTTTTTGGTCAGAAAAAAAAACTGGCTCTTTATTAGTTCATGAGATGAAAGAAAAAAACTTTTTTAGTCTTTTGCAACTTAGTTTGCATAATGAAGGTTATAAGTTTATTAGAAATAATCTTTGTATTAAAGAATCACAAACATGTAACAAACTTGACATTATTACTGACCAAGACTTTACAGAAAGTAATAAAAGGGATACAAGGAACAAAAATTCATTTTAAAAACAAAAATTTGTAATACCAGAAACTTCTAATTGTGTACTCTAATTTACTTTCTGAATTGCTGTTAATTGACACTGCACAATCCTTTTCAATTGTTTTGAGGACTGCTTTTTCATTACATTTAGCTTGTTGTGTTGGTTCTAATGTTCTTTTTTATTTGTTAATTGTTTGCTGTTTGTTACTTATTATGTTCTAATGTTATGCTTTTTGTCAGATTTTAGGGATTGGTCGTTTAAATGAGTTTAGACTTTTGAGGTATGTTTCAATAATTTCTAGACTTATTGTTTGATGGATTTACCTTTTTATATGTTAGGTGTAATGGTGGTATTGCTGTTATTTTTTTGTTTGAAAAAGTATTAGCAAAAATAACTATTGAATAGATGAGCTTTATCTAGATCAAAAGTTGCAACAATATTATTGTATCGGATATCAGGGAATGTTTCTTTGTTTTTTCTCATTGATTTGGCATATGAGTAAAATGCTTTTTGGATTATGGTCTATGTTTCTAGCAAGTTTTTTTTCAAATTCAATAGTTTCTTTTCTGCACGCTGCTTTTGTTTTGTTTCGTGAAATGCGGTAATCGTTATATGTTTCTTCATTTCTGTTCAATATATATTGACGATATCTCTCTTGTTTAAATTTTAAGTTCATTAATTATTTGAGAGTCGATCCATTTTGAGCGTTTTATATTTTTAAAGTTAGAATTTGTCATATTATTGTTAATACTAGTTTTAAGTTTATTGAAAAACTCCATTGTTGGTCTGAGTTGGATGTTGGACAGAGTTTAATATTTGCAAGGTCAATTTTGTTGACCAAGAAGCATTTTCAATGCTTCTTGGTCAGCAAAATTGCTATACAAAGTTCCCTTGCTTTTTCAGTGAATGGGACAGTCGAGACAAAAAGCAGCACTACATAAAAAAGGTTTGGCTTTTGAGAAAAACTTTAGAAGTAGATGTTCAAAATGTTGAGAGAAAAAGCCTTGTGGATCCCAAAAAGATCTTCACATTTAATATTTGCAAGGTCTTCATTAATTTTGTTTTATTTCTCTTTTGTGCATAAATGTTTTGTATTTGCGGTATATTTACAATAGATTCAATTGACACAGTAAAGTAGAGTAGTTGATGATGACTTTTGCCGATGAGTGCTAGATGAGTTTAAAAGTTTGTTGTCAGATGTACTTAACTATTTTGTTGTTAGGTGTTGTCTATTTTTCAGGATTAAAGTATAAGTGTGAGTGATCTTTGGAATACATCCAGTTGGAAAAATCAAATTAAAGCATGCAAATCAAATTAAAGCATGCAAAATTTTATATCAACAAGAAGGGTATTCCGATACCTGGTGGTTATGAAAGAGTCTTTATGAAAAAAGTAAAAAATATTTAGACTTGATTAATATATAAAATTAGTTTTGTTGTTGCAACACTATGGTCTACGTGTTGAACAACTT